TTCAAGTGGTGAGGAATCCATTATTTTTCTTAGAGGTCAAATGTTCAATTCCCTTGGATCCAAATTTTTTGTAAGGAGATTTTAAAACCCAATCAAATAAGTCAATCAAGTCGGGTAAATCGCCGATTCACTCGATCAAAACCCGATTTTGACCGAGTCAATTACACTTCTATCAAATTAATCTGTCCGGTCCAGTCAAGGGTCCCGGCAGTTGGTTTTTCGGTCCGACCTATTGAGCCGGATTTTATAACTATGGATATAATGTTTGACGAGTCACAAATTGTACGTGCTCAAACTTCAATGGAAGGTGAATTGTCCAATTTCAATTCCGATAACACAAACTAAAGGCATGTTTACTATCGTCAATTTGCAGACTTTGCAAGGGGGTGTTGGAGGAGTATCACCAAATGTGAGCACTCCTCATACCAAATAATAGGGGATCAAATCCTACTGGAAAATTATCTCGACCTCATTCTAAATTAGTTCAAACGAAAATGTCTCTGTAATTATACGTGCTCGTTAGTAGTCTCTTGTCCTCCTCAATTCTATTAATACATGTAGGATTTGGCTTGAAAAATATAGCCCGAAAAATCTACTTGACCCGACTTGAAATGAGTCGGGCCTGGTCGATTTAGGGATACATTCGGGTCAGGTTAAATAAAATAAATTTAAAATAATTGTGGGTCGGGTCGGTTCAGCCTCACAAACTGACCTGCCCGCCCAATTGCTTCAAAATCCTGGCTTCATCTTCACCTCTTCGATAGCAACTAGGCGAAAGCCATTTGATTTTTTCGCCTATTAATGCGCAATCCAAGAAAGCAACAAATGTGTAAGCCCCTGTTTGGCCCCCATTATTGTAGATTTTTAGGGGGTTGAAAATTTTTAGAATAGTGATTGATGGGAGATGTGTGGTTGAAAAGTTTTAGATTTGTGTGTATTATTATTTTATTTGATGAATGTATGGTTGAGATGAAGAGAGAGAAAAATTTAATGTAATGTAATGAGATATNATGGGGGGCAAACAAGGGCTAAATCAACTTTCTCCTTCAATTGGCCATTCTTCTTTCTTTTATTCCCATTCTGTGTCACATTTGAACCTCTCATTTCTTTGTTCAGCATACCAGTTGCAGTATCCTAACTATTTTTATCTCCTATATTTCTGTACTTTGTCCTCATCTCTCTCGTCTTTAATTGATTTCTGTGGCCTTCCCCTTCCCTTATTTGCAGGAATTTTCTCATCCTCACTACTCCCAGGATCATCCTAGTTAGTTACAGATAATTTCTTCCCCTTTACTCTACCCCGACCCATAATCTTATACCCCGATGAAAATCAAACAAAATTGAATTGTAATTCAATACCTCGAAGTAAGGAGGATGATATGGAAAATTGCCTTTTTTTGTAGGTTCAGCTGTGAATTGAATTTTTTTGGGTGCAACTGGTTTTTCACTTGGGTTCTTTCTTGGGCTTGGCAAACTTAGCCGGTGGATTCGAACTGACCCGATTCGGGTCGGGTTGGTTTGTGAAAGAGCCCAGATCGGCTATATTGGGTCGGGTCGATTTTTTGCCAAACTTGACCCAACCCATTGCCCACCCCTAAATACATGTTCGATCTCCATTTTTTTGAGTGCATAATGTATTTTAAAATAGTAGATTGGTGAAAAAAGTGAAGTTAAAAATGAAGGAATTTTTGTTGTTGTTGTGCATAATATTATTTTATTAAAAATATGTGATTGAAAAGAAGAGAGAGAGAGAGAAAAATGTAATTTTAAAAAAAAGGGAATCAAACAAGTGCTTAGCGTAAATGATTATATAATATTAATTCATTTTTATGTTTGGGAAGTAACCCAGACAATTCAAACTTCTTGTGCTCATTCTTGTTCTATATTTGTTTGTCTATGTTTGGTTTTAAAACTCATTTTTAACTACATATTTTTTCATAAAGCTTCTATTTGACAATCATTATTTCAAAACTCTTTTTTCTGGATACTCATTTTAAACCACAAATTATCACAATAAAATATTATACTCGTAAAGCCAAAATTTTCTCTACTTTTTTAAAAACATATTCTCAAAAAATTCATTATTAAAAACATTATTTTTCCTAAATAATGGACATCAAACATAGGCAAAATAACTTTATACATAAATCAAAAACTTTTTC